TGATATTGTTAAAAGGTCTTTGTTATCATCGTCGACTTCTGTTTGCTGAAAAGCTTGCGATAAATCTAACTTGCCCCTCCGTGAAAAGTTGTTCGATAGTGGGCATTGGGTGTTGAACTACTTCAATAACAGGATTGAGAGTAACTTTGAAATATCCACATATTCTAATAATATAATAATATATAATAATAATTCCATTCTTCTTGAATACCGGGACTATGGGAGTAGCCCAGCGACTGTACTCTACTGGCGAAATAACACCTAAAAATTTAAGTCTATTAATTTCGGCTTCAACCTTGTCTTTAATAGCAAAAGGAATTGTTCTGGCCTTACACATTTTGGCACTACATTATTTTTTATATATATATTTTTTCAACACCTTTGTTAAATAAACCTAAACCCTCTGAAAAAAACTTCACTATATTGGCTAACTAAATTTTCAATAGAGTTTATATAATTATTTATTGCAATATCCAATTTTTCTTCAAATAAATTTAAAAAATCTCTGCCAAGTATAGGTGGGCCTCCATCTATACTTAATCCATATATAAATATATAATTATCTTAATCCATATATATAATAAAACCAACCGTATAAACAATGAAAAGTTGTTGGTTTCTGCTGATAACAAAATATTAGGTAGGGAACAACTCATTTCAGCTCGATAGAGATTGTTTACATCAAGATATATGAGATAAGATGAAGCTTCGTTTGAATTATACTCTGTTCCCATGGGTTATTATTGGCCTTACCGTAACCATTCGAACGTTGTGAAATGCCACTTCTTATTCCTTTTATAATAAATAAAATTATATCAGTTTTTACATCAGTAAAAAGTTCTAACTCAACTTGAGTAAGTTTAGCATACTATCAAATGCAAGACTAGGGGCCTGTATAAACTCTAAACTCTAGGGTGCCAGGGAAAAAGAGTATAAGTCAAAAAAGTTGATTTTTCAGAAATCAAATTTATTTATATGTGATTTTAAGGAATTAAATAGTTATGGCTGTTACTGCATTAACAAAATAGTTTTAACTGAACTTGAGTAAGTTTAGCTTACTATCAAATGCAAGACTAACAACATCATAAGAAACTATACAGATAAGTCCTAAGTTTGATACACAAGGTACTCTTTTATTTTATAATTTTTGAGACAACAGTTTTATTATCTCTGTAAATTATTACTATTTATCCCACTTATTATAGTCAAAATTACTTTTCAGTTAACGTTATAAGTTATAATTTGATTGAAACAGTACACTTTTTTACTGCGTTATGATATTTTATATGAAAAAAAAACAGACAAAAAAACTAAAAAACAGGCAAACCACTCTAAAAAATAAAAAAAAACCGGACCTGTTATTTTAAGCATTTTGGTGGTTGTTTTCTGTTTTTCAGTGTTTGTTTCTTGTTTAAACCTGTTTATTCTTGTTTATTAGCGTATTTTAAACGTTCTTAACTGTTTTACGTCATAATTAAGATCTATATCGGTTGTCTGTCTGGCACAAGTACACTACTCTGTATGTCCCGGATTATATTTACAAGAGAAAAAACTTTCGTGTTATTAAATTTTTGAGAAAAATTCATTCTCCATAAAAGTTTTGTTTCGTCTAAAATTCTTAATCTCGTTTATATTTTTACAAATTTTCACTACATCCCGTTAGGTTTGTTTTTCATAAGCGTCCGGATTTTAATGTTCCCTTTTTAGAAATAATGCAAAAAATATATTACTTTTAATAAATTTAGTTAATTTAAAAATTTTCTTAGTTTAAATATTGTCGATAAATTCAGCAGTGTAAATTTATTCTTTTACTGCGTAAGTTTTAAGTTTTGAAAGTCATAAAAAATGTATTTTTTTCAAACGTCACAAAAGTACCTATTGATTTTTGCGACGTGATTGACAACATAAAAAAGTAATTTTAACGCCTCGCCATAAAAGTAAAGCATTTTTACGCCTAAGCACAGAAGTACGAAAATATATTATTAAACTAGGGTTGCCAACCGTCCTCTATCCCTGAGGACAGCCCTCTTTTTGATCTCACTGTCCTCTTTTCTCTTACGCATTGAAAAAGTCCGCTTTTTTTGCATACCAAACTCAAAATCTAAAATATATTCGTCTATCGTCACAATACTTTAAAAAAGTGTTGACCTGTTGCTGTTTAACAAATTAAGGTTTATCTAGATGTTGATATTATTTATTAATAATTATTTTGTATTGTTTATATAGTGTATGTATCTTTTCTGCCTACTGTATGATTTTCAGTTGAGGCACGTATTAATCGATCGTTGTGTTCACGCGATTAAAATAAACAACACTGAACACCTTTTTAAAAGGTATTTATTATTACTGAACAACAAGTATACAGTGTGTAGGCTCGAATCTGACTGCCTGACGCTGACGCTTGGGTTGGCGGGGTCCGCTAGGTTGGCTGCTCCCAAGATCTGCACTGGACCATCACATAATTCCTCCCCGTGAAGATCCAAAGATGAGGGTTAAAGAGGAAGTTGGAGTAACTCCTCTGGAGGTGGCCTACGTCTTACGAAGTATCGTTTTGAAATTATTTTTCTCCACAAAATGTAGACAATAAAAATAATTAAGAGTCTGTAAATGTCCAAAAACTAGGATGGTTGGACACTTGACCAAAGTTAAGTTTCGGTTCAATCTCGTAAATTTGTGTTTTAATTGAACTGAGTTCATCTAATTCGAATTCGCCAAGTTTTATGGGAGATTCGGCACTATTAGTATTGTCTTTATTATACTCGATATCGGGAAACAAAAGCATACGATATTGATTGTTTATTGATTCGATATTACTGATAGTCTCTCGCGAAGTTGATATTTGACAGTTTCGCGGGATGTAAGTACTATGATATAAGTACCGGCTTGTAGCACTTGGATATCTTCTTGTTGTCTGCAGCTTAGCTTCAGTGTTTCTTCAGCCTAAACTAGGCTGATCCATTGGTCGGGTTCGGCAATGTTCTTGACGGTGATTTGGAATGTGACTTTTTGATAGTTTGTAGTAGTACTGGAGCTTAATATTTGGAGCTCACAAGGACTGGATTTCTGGGAATATTAGAGATCGTTCTTCTGGCAGGACTCGTTCGAAGATATTTCGACACAAGGGTCGTTCATAAATGCGTGGTGCAATTCATTGCTTAGTAAATACTTTTTTCTAGGTATTAAAGCCTTGAACTGACCTTCGTTTAATATAGGTATTGAATACAAATGAAATGACATTGTGTATGTAAAGGGCTCATGTCACATGGCACATCTTGCTACCTCGAAAGCCTGTTTAAAATTGCCAAGACATGTAGAGGATCTGTTAAGAAATATTGGCAGCCATTTTAGCCGAAGTGCCATGCGACGAAAAAAGTTTGAAGTTTCAAATTTTTTTTAAAGTCGATATCCAAAATAAAATACTGTCTCCTTCCCAAACAAGATGGTTATCTATTAAGGCATGCGTTGACAGGGTACTGGAACAGTACGAGCCACTGTCAGCATATTTACAACAGAAACAATGTTGGAGACAATGGGCAGTACGTTTACCAAACTATATCTGGAATTTATGTCTTACTGTTTGGGTCTCATGACTGAATTTAATCTTTTGTTCCAATCTGAAAAGTCCCTTCTGTATAAGGTAAAACCCGAAACAAAAACTCTTTTAAGAACTTTATGCAGCAATTTTATTAAAATGAATGTAGTCAGAAACAATTCAGTAGATATTTTTAACTTAAACCACATAGATCCAAATAATTTTTTACCTCTGGAACAAATTTATGTAGGTATCGCAGACGACACAAAAATGAACACGCCGCTTTCTGATGACGTCACGTGAAGGTCGCGAAGTGTGCCATTTTAAAAATTTGAATTTGAGCGCGAACAATTATGAGATGCATAATTTGTGTATGTAATGTCCTAATTTAAATGTTCTTGAGTAAAAGGAGATCGGTATTATGCCACTGATACCTAGGTATTGATTTTTTTTAAAATTAAATTAAAATATATATAATTTTGACTTTTAGTTCAAAGTAGGGTGCAAGTGTGTAAATTTAAAAATTATTTCTAAAGAAAAACGACAACTAAATTTGTTATAATTTTATTTATAATTAGATTATAAAAAATAACAATATTTTAAGACTGTTTAGAAAATATTTTAGTATTCACAAATCAAATAAACATGCTAATCTAAAGAGGCTAGAACAACTTTAAAATAACAACAAATAACAACAAAAATAATAAATTAGGTATAGTAATTTAAATTTTAACGCTGACATCTTATTACACTAATACTTTTTTACAACATTATTAGCTATAATACTAGTTACAGGTTACATATTATCTATTATACCTACATAGCTATTATAAATGGTTCGTTTCACTCTATCAGTTCTAAAAAAGAGAAATGGTTGTTAAAATTCTCTTACTTTTGAACGCTTATTGGAAGGAAAATATTCCTGTTTATCCATTTTCCTCTTTTTTGAGGCTGTACATCTTTTTTCATCTATTTGTTTCTTTGTTAATTGTAATTAGTTGATAACAATATTGAACTTTTCATCATCAAGATCTTCTGCCCAATTTAAATAATACTTGAACTGAATATTTCTCTTGTCGCGGTCCTGAAGAGGCTCTTTATTTGATATGATTTCCCGGATTCTTCTTTGTTCAATAAACTGACATATTTCTTCCTCATTTTGAGCCTTGATAGTAGAGATTTCACCTAAAGTCTCTGAGAAATCGTCTGCAACAGAATTAGCGCCCATGGGCTCCTCATAAATGCGTACCAAGTGTACATGCTTACACAAGGTATTTTTCACCATATACTCAGGACAGTGACACTCATATCGGTGAATACAAATTTTACAAACTCGACAGTATAATGTCCTACAATCCCTCTCGCATACTTGCCTCAAACACACCGTGTATATTTTAAAATCATTAAACGATTGTACCTTGAACCGACCACCGATTCCTTTTGTTACCTCTACTTTATTTTGCATTTTTTATTGCTTTTTTAAGGGCCTTAATGATGACCCTGTCTTGGTAATTATTAGCATTTGGCCTCTCAGTGTTAAAACCCTCTTCCACATTTTTATATCCACTAAATCTTCAATGGTATGCAACAGCTTTTCAATAGTTATATGGGTCTTTCTTCTAAGTTGGTTTGTCTTCAGCATGTTATTTAAGCTCTCTATTGCCATATTTGTATTTATACCTAAAGAGTGATTTGTTATTTTTTGTAAAATACATATTTAGGAAGGTTATGGTACACACCTGAGTTCGTCCTATAACAATGAGCCCACATTTGTATCCTCTCTTCATCCTGAAGATAATATCTAAAATAATGTTAGTTAATTAGCAAAATGAAATATCGACCTACCTAGTAATAAAAAAAACAATGTCATTTGAATTAAGTAAATCTGATGAAATTATGTAAACCTTACCTAGTTAAGTAATTGACAAATTCAGGTTCGTTTGCTTCTTGCAATTTTAATAGATATATATTAGTAATCTCTAATATCCTATCTTCGTCAGTTTCCGTAATTATCTTCCTCATTTCTCATTCTTCATTTCTTTTCGAATTTCTAAGTCCTTAATTTTCTTTTTACCTTGAAGGTTCCAATTTTTTTACCACATGCCATGTACATAGAAGTGTTTTTGGGTGATTATTCATTGTTTTTACCCAAGCATTAAAATATTTAGGATCATCATCACTCATGAAATAGGCTGGTCTTACATCCTGTTGCAATTTCTCTCGAAGAGCACCTGTAAAATGTAGGTATTACAAATAAATAAATATTTAAAAAGATTGTATCACACCTAAAAAACTTCCTGAACTACTTGATCAAGCCGATTAGTAAGAAAGAAAGCTACGGGGAATCCGGCGTTTCTATCATCCTTTATAAGCATTACCGTCAAGTCCATTCCTCCTTCTGTTTGTGCCATGGGTCCCGTCCATACATATGATGTTTGAGAATTTCCTGAGTTTATCTTCCATGGTGGTGTTCATAAATCCTAGGGCAAAATCTTCTTTTTTGAGAATTTCATGCTCTTTCCTGTTAAAAACCAATCACCACAATGTATATACAAATACACCACCACCTTACATTAATATCTAAGTTTGTATTTACAATACCTAAATTAACTCTACCTTTTGTAAAGGGTAACCAGCTATAAAAACTTAGGTAGGTAGGTAATTACCTACACAAATTAAAATTTAATTGCTAGATTTAACCAGATAAAAACCTATAATACCAATACCCTGGATAGTACCCAAATATCTAACTATCTACTGTCTTAAACTAAATCCCTTGATTCCCTTGCACTGAATTTCAGAAATTGGTACTTACCTTCTTGCTTGAAAAAAAAAGCAAAATTCTTTCCTCCTGCATTCCATTCTTGAACTTTCAATGCTGCTGCTACCATTTCATTTTTGTCCCTTTTCTTTTCTATATTCTTCTTTCGATATAAGTATGCCACATCTTTGCTATTTAATAAGTTTATTCGTTCCAAATCCGTCTTCTCCATCTTTCTTGCATCTTCCAGAATTCTACCGCTTGGTACACCTGACTCCAATTTTTTAATGATCATTTCCTTCTCTATTGATGACAAATGTTTACTACGTAACTCCTTCTCATTATGTCCAACATGTTTCTTCCAAAAGGTTACGGTAACTTTTCCATCATTAAAAAATTTGCAGACAATTCTTGAAGGGCATACTCCTTTTATCCTAATTGTCCCACCAACTTTCTCTGTGTATTGCTGGTACTTGTGTGTTTATCCTAAAAACATACAATAATTCCAAATAATTATTCGTCTCGTTTGTTATTATTTGTGCTTGCAAAATAATCAGTTATGTAGGTATACTAACCTTTAATATCACTCCTATTGCAATGATAATACACTGCTTTATGGGCTTTCCTTTGATTACTTCGGTTGCTTGGCATAACTCATTTCAATTTTTTCTGATTTTGTCCATGTCTCAAATTCTTCAGTGCTCAAAAAATCCCAAGTCGTTACTTCAATACTGATGTCACGAGTGTCTTGTATATGTTGTATGAGGGCCTCATGGGTCGTCAGTTCAGCCCTCTCCTCACACAATGGGCATATAATGTATTGTTTTGACTCCACTACTCTACTTATTTTGTGAAATCGTATTTTATGTTGATTTAGTAATTTGACAGACTTAAAAAAGTTTTATCTCCACACAAAGTACATGGCACTTCTGTGGATGTAGAAGGTAAAGGATAAAGAATAAAAGTAAGTAATAAAGATAAAGAATCTGGCTGTGGCTGGTGCATGATTTTCTTAAGAATCTAATTTATCATCCACTATTATTATTCATTCAATTTATCATTGAACAAAATATACTTACTTATTGTTGTCATAAACAGGTTTTAGTTTAACTCTATTTAACACACACAGAACTAACAAAAGTCTCTAAATACGAAAAATATAAATCTATATAAACAATAATAATACTTTTAGCGAATAATCAATGGACAATAAACTGTTCGCAGTGTTCGCCAGAAATCAGAAATTCAAATCTTCAAAAATAAACACCGAAATGTCATTTCAATGCGCATGCCTAAAAGAAGCGACGTGTTCATTTTTGTGTCGTCCGGTATCGCGGCATCTCATGGCCTGGAAGAATTAAAACAAAATCCTAACATCGAAAAAAGGGAAATTGAGAAGTTTCTAACAAACATTTTATCATTTTACATTGAGCTAGTTAGTGGCATTAAAGATAGATTTTCCTTTACGGATGACGTGTTTGATTTTCTTGATATTATGGATCCTAAGGTGGCACAATCTTTTAATGTAAAATCTCTACGAAATATTCTTAAAATATTTCCTGTTTTATTGATAAGAAAAGATTGTGCATATAGATTCACAATCTTTAGATAATGAATGGCGGCTTTTTTTGCTCTATACGTGGATCTATACAATGTCCCAAAATTAGTTTTGAAACTACTAACTAGATCTAATCTAATATAACTAGAAAAATCAGAATAGGTTAATATTCTTTTGATATCATAATTTATTTTGTTCTTAAAAAAGGAGTTTAATTTTAATGAAAAAATAAAAAACCAGGTCCGTATTTAAAAAAGTTAATGATGGGTTTGTCGAATCCGAAACGTCGGATTCAAAAATGTATAATATCAGTTTGAAGAGGAGAAAATATTCATAATAAAAATAATAAAAAAAAAACAAAAAACAATGAAAAAATGGTATTATTTTAATGATGGGATTATTTTAAAAGTAAGCAAAAAATAAAGTTCAGTTTATTTAGAGGCACTTTGACAGTGTAAAAATAAATAATGAGGTACCTACTTCATTTATTTCTGAGTTCGAGACTTCATCTTCAGACTGAATCAGACATTCAGAATCTTCAGGATCTACTGGTACTGGTTCTGCGATAGGTATATCTTCTTCAAAGGGTGCACTTTTCTAAAGAAAAAAACAATACTTATTTACATCCAAACCCAAACCCACTTAATTCCAATAAACAAACCTACCTAATAACTAATTATCCATTTATCCATAATTGTAGTGAAAATGAAAACACCAACACGGAACAAGGACTATATTATATGAACACCAACACGAATTTAATAGGATTAATAATTTAATAAAAAATAAATGACAGATGAGATGACGATAACACTGATGACACTTGTTGAATTTGACACTGATGACAGATAACGGAATGACGCGTAACATGACATGATGACTGATGACATTCCGTCAATATTGCCAATAGATAGAATGTTAATGTTACTAAAATATTAGCACGCAACAACAAGGTTGCCTGCAAACATTATCTTAATATTCCGAAATTGTCCGATTTATTTCTTGGTCCGAAAAAAGTCCACCAACCTATCAAATAGTCCGACAATCGGACAATTATCCGGCAATTGGCAACACTGATTGGTTTATAGAGCGCGTTAACAGCGAGGGTTTTTTAGCGCTCAATAACAAGCTTTACTCAATATGAGGTTATTTTAAATTACTTTAAGTTAGAAATTAAAGTTTTTTCGTTATGTTGATGCTGTCTAAGAATTCCATAACTTTATTAATCTTCGAAATGTTAAAAGGCGCGAACTAGGTAACAGCATTAAAGAATCTAGACCTATGGGAGGCAACAGGTAAGCATTCAAAAAGAATGTGTCTCATTGACATTAAGTTATTGCATAAGGTGCATTTCGGAGGGGGTTCATTTCTGATAATATATGATTTGGTAAGATATGAGTGTCCTGTGAGGGTTCTAACAACTTTACAAAAAGATCCGCGTTCAAGAGAATATATATTTTGATACAGATGAAGAAGTGGCATATGTGATCTAAGTTTATTAGTTCCCTCGAGGATGTCCCATTCACTTTGAAGTATACTGAAGTACACTTTTTTGTATGATCTGAATTCGATTTTTTTTTAAATCGACAACGGATTGAGTTCCTTCATTATGTAAGAGTGTTGCCTCGTTAGCCAGTTTGTCTGCTCTAACCACTTATACTCTACTTACCTTCTTAGATTCCTGGACACTCTGACATTGCTGGTCGTTACCAGCAATGTCAGAGTGTCCAGGAATCCACATAAAGTTAACATTGTAGTTTCTTTCAGTAAGTTTATATATTAAATCTCGAATTCAAGGATTTTAGGTAAGACTTTCTGGCAGAGTTATAGACAACATCACCATAGTCAAGTTTAGATAGTATAGAACTATTAAGTAGTTGAAGAAGACAAGTTGGATGGAAACCTCATTTGGAATTACCAAAAACCTTAATGATGTTTTTGTTCTTTGATTTAATATAAGATATATGAGGTTTCTATAATAGTGAACTATCCAAGATCAATCCAAGAAACCTATGTTGACCTTCACTAGGAATAGGATAATTCTGGTATTTAATATCATCAATTTGAGTGCAACTTCTTATTTTGCAGAAGTGCATTACAGAGGACTTGGAAGCAGAAAAGGAATATCCAGTGCAATTAGACCATTTTCTAAGGGAATTAAGATTTTGTTGGATTTTTCTCTGACAAACTCTGGGTGATCTAGAAGAATAGTAAATAACCAAATTATCAGCAAACATGCGGATAGATATGTCAGGGGAGATATATGTAGGGAGGTCAAGAAGGGATAGAAGAAATAAAGAACAACTCAAAACAGACCCTTGAGGCATGCCGTTCTCTAGAGGTTGGGACGGAGACAGAACATTGTTGACTCTAACTTGAAATTCACGCTGGCAAAGAAAATTTGATATAAAAAGTGGTAATGATCCTCTTAGTCCTATTTTATAAAGATTTTTAATGACATTAAATCTCCAACACATATCATATGCTTTAGTAATGTCTAAGAACACAGCTATTAAATGCTTTTTGTGTAAAACATTTTCGTGAATATCCATCTCCATACATACTGGTGGTCCAGTGAACCTCGATTTTTACGAAAACCATATTGCATCGGGTGAGAATACTGTTTTCAGTTAAGAACCAAGAAAGCCTGTTATCAACCATTTTTTCAAAAATTTTATATATGTGACTAGTAAGAGATATTGGTCTGTAACTGTTAGTGAGTTGGGAGGGTTTCTCAGGTTTAAGGATTGGAATGAGGATGGCGTTTTTCCATTCTTGAGGAATTTAACTCGTTAGCCAAATTTTATTGTAGGGCTTTAAGGGAAAATGGAGGAGGTTGGGAGGAAGGTATTTGATCATTAGAAAAAGGATTCCATCAGAACCAGGAGCTGAATTTTTAGGGGGATTTAATGATTTTAGTGCAAATATTATAAAGGGGGAATTATAGGGATAATTGTTTTTAGTTAAAAAATTTGGAGGAGATTTCTCCTCGCGAGATTTATAGTTCATGAATTCTGGTTGATAGTTTGTTGTGCGCGAATGGTTTCTGAAATGTTCAGCAAAAATGGTAGATATTTGATATGGGTCTGTAACCCAAATATTATTT